CACAAATTCAAATCCGAGTATGTGCAGGCTCGGAGCGTCCAAACTCGGCTGCTTCAGAGAATTCCGCTCGGCCAGGATCCATACAACCATGCCATGGTTCTCATCAATATTGCTGAGATCGATGTGATGATTGGGGCACCCAAGGATGACGTGAAGCGGAACCTGGATATCGGACAGGCTACCTTCGAAGCTTTGAAGGTGAAACCCCATCTGGCCTGGTGCGACGCGTTCCGAGCCGAGCTCAATTTGAGAGAAGGCGAATTTGATGCGGCGAAAACACTATTCCAAAAGTGTCTTTCCGCCCTGCAGGGCACGTACATTGAACTGCAAACTTACTGCTTGGAGCGACTTGGAGATCGCAACCGCTGGACCACGGAGACCGGTTCATCGTTTTGGACCACAGTCTATCTTGCGCATGCCCTCAAATCGAAACAAAACTTGGATATTCACAAGGCGCTGCGATATATCGGCGATGACTTTCTGTTGAAGAATGATCGGGATACAGCGGCGAGCTTATTCACGGTTGCGTTGGAAGGATTTACCGAGATGGATATCCACCGGAGCCGGGCGGAATGCATGGTTCGCCTCGGAGACATCTCAAACGCACAGGGGGATTTTGCAAGGGCTGTGAAGTTTTGGACTGCGGCGCGACCTCTGTTCGAGCGGTCTTCCCAAACGGACCAAGTTCTTGTTATCGATCAAAAACTTGCCCAGATTCCCGCCGATGTTTTGGGTCAGCAAATGATGAGTCTAGAGGACGATTCAGCCACCGAAGCCGTGGCGCAGTTGGTGCTCGCGGATCCAGGCACGAGTTCGGAGGATATTGGCGACTGGGAGAATTTGAATTCGGATGAGGAGTATGATGACGAAGGATTCTGATTCATCGGAAAACATGTAGTCGTGTCTCGTTAGTTTACTGACACGATGTTCTTGGAAATGATCTGATAGAGTTTGGTTTGGGTACATGAGTGCGACTAAGACGAAAATGACAATCAACAATCATAATTCTAGTCCATGCAGGTGTATCTCTCAAGCATAGCTGCATGACTGACCTTCCATCGAGGTCCTAATGCCGTGCAGTCCCGTACAGTTGTGAAACACAACATTCTACAGCGGGGCCCGTTATACTGTCGCACAGGGGATGGTGCGCAAGGCAGGCACGGTGGATGTGCTAGGCGTTTGGAGAGCGATGAGCGGTTTCACGACGACTTTGCGATGAACAGCTACGGGTGTGTCTGGCTACCGCAGCTGGCGAACCCGCTGGGTTTGCGCGGCCGCGACACGGAAACAGAGTCGAAGACACAATTTAAATGTGTTGAGATGACTGGCGGGCATAACGTGCCTGAGGGTTCGGAGGAGGTCTGGTCTTGCAGCGGTGAATGTTTTTTTTTTTTCTTCTTTTTTTTTTGGAGCGTTTGGGATAATGAAACTCAGTCTGCAAAGTATTCGAAGTTCATCCGCTTGGTCTACTGGAAAAATTCAGTTGTTGCCGGGGAAGGTGTCCAGGGAGGAAATGCCATTACGCACAAAACCATAAAAAAGTGTGGGACTCCAGCCGTAATTTATCATCCTATCCCATTATTATTTCTTCGAGATTTTATTGGCTGTATACCCACTAAAACCCCCTCAGTGTATGTCCAATCATCCAGCAATGAGTCTTCATCCTGAAGTAGACCGGTTCATGTTCTGAGTACGAGATCTTTGTTGAAGGCAAGTTTTCCAAACTTAATTTTATTGATGAGGATACGATCTCGCTTGAGGGTGTCGTTGACAGATTTCAGCCATTTGTTGTGTATCTCAGTCTCCATTATCACTTTGTCTGGATTTTTCAGAACCTGGTCATTTCGAATGTTCCATATCAGGTGCCATGATGTTGAGATCAACATGGCGAATAGAGGCGAATAGCCTGTTCGTTTCAGGTCCAGCCGACCTTGATTGAGGTGTAAACTTGATTAGGTTACATCCCAGAATTAAGCCCCAATTCATCCGGGGCCAGTTCGGGTATTTCATCTCCCACAATTGTTGTGTAAGGTTCCAGATCAGCTTTGCACCGGAGGCATCGCACTCGAGTGCAATGTGCTCCAAAGTTTCAGGTACTTGGCATGTCGTACAGATGCCGTGTATTTCGGAATTTTCAATGTGTAACCAAAAATCACCTACTCTGAATGTGTTGTGTATACTTTTCCAAAATAACTCTCGGTGAACCCGTTTCAGCGTCTGCAGCGGTGAATGTTAGTTTTCGACAAGCAAGTGTTTCAACACTGCACTACGTTCTGCCTGCAGAAAAAATCGGTTCGAATATTGGATTCAATGAGCTAGCTCTAACCAATGGTCGTTATTGCGCCGGAGGCAGATGGACTTCAATTCGTCTAGTTCGACGTTCAGCTTGCGACGTGACATTGACTAATCTTTCAGACACGTGATCGCGTCTTTCTCTTTCTTTTCCGATTCGCATCAGTGACTGGCCTTCTTTTCCCGTCTGCTCGTTTTCCTTTCCTCTCCTTCTCCACCTGCGTCCCTTCTTTGCTAATAATACCAACGACGGCGAGGAAAACTCTGTTATATAGAACGGACGGGCAATGCGTCGGGGAAAACAAGGATACTTGCTGCAGCGCATGATCGTTCCCGTTGGCCGATTCTTGACGACTGGGACCACTTCCTCAGAGTCTCTCTTCTTTCCCGCATGCGCCTCGCCATCGGCTCCAATCTTCGCAATTCTCACGATTCTGCTCTTCCTTCCTTGAAGGCTCGGTCCTATCCTACCTTTTGCGCCGCTCGTTAGCTCCCTTCCACGCTTAGCGGCTCGTGTACCTATGACTTGACCTGAAGCGCTAGCCATACATCGATCGATGTATGCATGCCCTCGAAATTCCAGAATGCTCCGTGCTTGCCGCGCAATCATCTTGGACTGCCGCGCAATCGAATCTAGAATCACACCCCCAGGCCCCGCCGCTAAGTACTCCACATTTTTATTCCAAGCACATACCGTATTTCCCACCCCGGGCTGACTCTCCGCCTTAGCGCTCCACCGTTCGAGAAGAGAATCGTCGATGGCTATATGTGTAACGACACTACATACGTGAATCCAACGGGAATTTTTACGTGAATCCAACGTGAATTTTTAGGATGCGTATTCCGCCGACCGAGGTCATGATCAATCCTCGTGCCGAACGGCGAACACTCATCGAGACGTTAGATAACGACACTGCGTACGTTAATTCTGCGTACGTTAATTCTGCTGAGCGGCATACTAAAACCACATCCTTGTAGCGAATAATATCGACCCTGGAGTCTTCATAGCTTAACGAAGCGTGGGCGATGCTGCCAGAATCCCTCTGTATCTTGGCTGCTACTCTCGATTTTCCACGTCAACAATACGGACACCGGTGTCCACACATAGGCAACAGCGTCAACTCCAAGCCACTGTCGCCGACCTACAGACATTGAACTTGCATCGGCGGATAAGTAGCCCAATAATTTTCGTTGGGTATCGGGTAAGTAGATACTTTTTATAGACTTGGAACGGTGTCTATACACTACACAGTATACTTCCTTGAGCTGCGGCCGCAAGCCCCCTTTAACCCAACCAAGAAGCTATGCAGAAGGCCCCTTTCAAGTATTTTTTATCTTGAACCCCTGAGCGACTGTTCGCTTTTACGGCAGTGGTGTGGACATATGTGTTCGCCTTTACGAGCTGGGAGCTGGCAGGTTTTTGTAATTGTGCTTTTCTGCTTGCTTGCCTAACCACAGTACTAGTATCATTTTTTATCTCGCAGAACGCACCCTATAGCTACTCGAAGAACGCAGACGATGTAATCTGCGATCAACGACCGTCTCGGGCTCTGCCTCTCATGAGTGAACAGAATTTATGGGGATACATACGGAAACGGATACATACGGAAAAGAAACATGAAAATGCGACCCGGATTTAGAAACGGTTCTGCTTCTGCATTTAATCGGATTCCTCTTACCATCATCTCTGAATCTAATCTTTGTCCGGTATCTTCCCAAGAAAGAATCAAGGTCAGGTTCAACTACTTACTCACACTGTACTCACACTGTACCGAGTCAGTTACAGTTCACGACAGCCAAACCAAAACTTGAAGACTCTATCTAAGTTGAGTTGACACTTTTCATCCTGGTACTACATATGATAAGTACTCAGACTGCAATGGCATACGTGCCACTACGCCAAGAGCTGAGCTTCCCTCCAAACAAAAACTGAGTTTCCTTCTGAATCCGAACTAGATCAAATCAGCCATTAATATCGTTTACCACCATCCACCATATGCATATGCATATAATTTACCACCGCCATCGAGTGTTAGTGTTGAAAAACCGCGGGACGGAGCCCGGGACCAGTATCCGATCTCATGGGACACATCGAATTTGTACATGTGCCGCTCCCGTCGTCCCGAATTGAAATGTGAAGTGTTAAATGTACTGTACACGTGAGCCTCCGGAGAGTACATAAATCGGGATATGAATATTCAATCTGAGTACTATGATCCTTCATCGCTATCGATGGCTCCTAGCATCCTACAAAAAAAAAAAAAAAAACACGTCCATTCCATTCGATGTCTCCTACATACTAGGACTGTCCTAGATTTCTCCCTGTAGGACTGTCCTAGATGTCTCCTATGTAGGATTGTCCTAAATTTCCAGAACAAAAAAGTGGTACTTAGTCGGGATAAAAAAAGTGGTACAGTACTTAGTCGAATTCAACCTGAACCCGAACCTGGTGAGCGACTTCGTGGGTCTGGCTCCGTACTGAAGGTGAACATCCTGGCGTATACTGAAGGTGAACATCCTGGCGGTACTCAAGGCGAACATCCTGACGTATACTAAAGGCAAACATCCTGACGTTGATCCCAAACGATTCCGAGGAACGCACTTGGCCAGAAAAAAAAAAAAAAGGTAATCCTAAACGAGGTTTATGATTAGAGGAAAGAAAGGAGGAATATGTACAGAGAGGAAGGAACGAAAAAAACAAAAAGATTAGACACTACCGTGGTTCGAACACGGGACCCCATGATTGTCGCAACCTAGGCCTTGCAATCATATGCTCCACCACTAAGCCATAGTGTCGTGCCACGACCTCGACTATCCAGGTCTGATACCGCATGCGTCATAGTTGGAAAGGTGAACTTTGGACTGTAGTTGAATTTATTATTTTCTTGACGTGGACCTGGGATTTCTTGACGTGGAGCTGGGATTTCTTGACGTGGAGCTGGGATTTCTTGACGCCGTGGAGGTGGATAATCTTCGATTGCAGGATAATCTTCGATTGCAGGATGAGCGTTCGATTGCAGGATGCCAGTGAGCGTTCGGGACCTAAACGTTAAACGTTAACCCTCTGAGCGAAATCAAAATCGACCGATTGATTCAAGTTGCTGATTGACTGAAATTCACGCTGGAATATTAATGGCGCACGAATTCGAAGCAGTTACTCAGAGACTTAAGTCTTATAGTACTTAGTCTGTAGATCGGAATTTATGTATTATTCCGCTTCACAGTCAGTCAGCCGGCGTAGCAAGTGATTCGGAGGTCAATTTAAAATTTACTTACTTACTGTAACTAGTAACTACTAACCAGTGTCGGCGTCGGCGTTTTCCTTCAAGTTCGAGGTACAGTAGGGTTATTCACAGTTCCCTTTTCTCTGCTCTTTTTCCTTTCCTTTTTTGCTCCCTTTTTTGTTCCCTTTTCCCCACTGGACCAGAACAAGGTTGTACAATATAGTTGCATTGATTTCGAGCACAACTTGACAGCAGCACTATACTGGGTACTTCCCACCCTTGTAGCTCAATTAGTGGGCAATTAGACACCACAAATACCAGCAAGATGAAAAAAGGACAACAAAAAGGAAGCAAAAAAGGGAAACCCGGAGGGGGGTTTCACAGTTCTCCCTTTTTCTTTCCCTTTTTCGTTTCACCAATCTCCCATTTCAATGAGTTTTGCACCTAGGGTCGTCGTTTCTTCCCTTTTCTACCCTTTTTACATCCCTAAGTTGAAAAGGGAAAAAAACCGAAGGAAAACAAAAAGTAGGAAAAAAGGGAAAGAAAAAGGGAAGAAAAAAGGAGAACTGTGAACGACCCTAGTATGTTCAGAATTTTTGGCACATGCGATGATCTATACATATGCTCAGTTGAACGATACAAGTGACAAGACTTCCGGATCCAAACTGCATCGATTATCGATTATCGATCATCGGTACTAACCGGTAGAGGCGGATCCAATTCCTTCTGAAATTTTCAAGTCATCCGCTGATGCGGCCCGCGCTCGTGAATGTCCAAGCTTAAGGAGACTCCAAACTCATTCCGTTTTTAATTTTAATTTTTTTTTTTACGGCGCTAGCGCGGGTGCCGGGTGGTATACATTAATCGTACATCCATACTATACATACATGGCGTGAACATACAATACGGTACAGTACCGCTGGGTATGGGTACATGCGCAGTACATACAGTGTGTGATCGAGGCGAGTGGGGAAATCCAAAGTGAGTTCCAAAAAGTGAGACGAAGGGAGCAGGAAGATCGTAAATGCTTTGAGAGAAGTACAGGTCGTAAATGCAAAGAGAGGAAATCGTGAATGCAAAGAGAAGGAAGTGGTATGGGTCGTGGATGCAAAGAGAAGTACATGTCGTGAGTGCGAATGGAAAGGATATGTCGTGAATGCAAATGGAAAGGAAATCGTAAGTAAATGCAGAGAAGTGGTGTTCATCAAGGTCGTAAAGGGGATCGATGCGATGCGTGGTCGTGATGCGATGCGATGCGATGCGAGGTCGTAAATCCGGAGGTGGACGCTAGATGCGGGCGGAGGGCGACAGTCGACGCGCGAGCGAGGGGACGACATGGACCGAGGTCCAGCTCCACACACAGGGACGAAGGAGCGGCAACTACTCTCACCCCCTTTTCCGCCTACTCCCCACCCCCACCCGCGCCCGCACCCGCACCCGCACCCGCACCCCACCTCCCCCCCGCCCCCGCCCCCGCCCGCCCCGCCAACACCGCAACAACCACCACCCACCCCCCCACCCTCAGCACGCGCCCCAGCGCGCCCCGCACGCCGAGCACGCTGCTGAACGGGTGCGGGGCGTGCCGGCGCGTCTGGAGGGCGCGCGCGCGGACGAGCGCGGGGAGGGAGTAGTCTGTGCTGTCTTCTTCTTCTTCTGATGAGGAGTAGGAGGAGTACGGTAGGGAGGTGATGGGGAGCCAGGACGCGGAGGGAGACGGATAGGGGGAGGAAGAGGAGGGGAATAGGGATAGGGATAGGGCGGGCGTACAGGGGTAGGAGGCGTACGAGGTCGAGGGCGGTGAGTCGGAGCTTGAGTCGTAGCCGGTATCGAGGGAGGATGTAGAGGATGTGGAGGAAGAGGAGGAGCTTGAGAGGGACGGGGAGCGCGAGCGGGAGGGCGGGGGCGTGCGGGGGACGAGCGCCAGGAGGGCGGGGTGTCCTAGCGCGAGGAGGCCGACGCTGAGGCCGGTGGCGTCGACGGGTGAAAGACAGCTGGGGCAGAGGCCGTCTGCGTGTGGGCCGTGCAGCCACTGTCACAGATGCGTGTAGTCTGGTGAGCTCGAAGGATAGGAGGGTAGAGTATAGAGAGGACGCACGGAAGCGATGTGCTCGGCGCAGAAGAGGTGCGCGCAGCAGAGGGTGCGGACGGGGGCTACTGCGAGCTCGAAGCTGCGAAGCGAAGACGAGATTAGGGGCGGATCGTGGACTAGTGAAGAGCGGCGTACCAGATGCCACATTCTCGCTCCACCTCCTTGGGTGCGCTGCGCACGCTGCGCGGCGGGCGAAAAGCCCGGTAGGGTGCGGGGCGCTTGATCAGCGAGAGCTGAGGCGTGGGGCAGCCAGACACAGACCCAGACTCGCCCCCGCCCGAACCCAGGTCGAGCGTGTAGTATTCCACATCGTCGTCGCGGTCTTCAGCGTACCGTGCCCGCAGGATGCTGCCCGATTCCTCTGGGATGGATGCTAGGGGTACCCAAGAACGCAGTGAGTACGAAGAAGGATGTTGTAGCAGCATTGGAGTGAGACAAGACATACCGCGATGTCGTTGAAGTTGCGCTTGCTGCATGACTGTACTCTCGAAACAAATGAAACTGGAACAGAGAGCGCAAGAGCAAGAGACAATAGCGGCTTTGTTGTGTTTGAAACGCCGTTGCAGGCTTGCAGCGAGACGATCGATCGGCTGACGCAGACATGTGAATGGGCGGAAATGCGGGGTAGGGCCACGGGGTGGCTGACGTCACGGAACTTACCCGTTCAGTCGTCACCGTCACTCCCTTCAAATTGGTACGGGGGGGCAGGCAACCCAGGAAGGGTTAGAAGGATGTAGCAGGGGCAATTACCGGGAGAGCATCCTAATTCCTGAAGGCCGCAGTTTATTCAGAGCTAAGTTGGAGCTCAGCCAAGGGTACGATCATTCCGATTTGTCTGGCAAATCCATCTTTCAATGGAGATGTCAAAAGGGGCTGTGTATGAATGAATGAATGAGTTCTCCGTCGTGTGGTGTCTCCATGAGTTCTCCGTGTGGTGATCTCATCCCTGCAAGGAAGATTCGGAGCGCTCACCAGCATGCGTGCTTGCTTCCTCTCGACCCACGTCCATGTTGCATATGTGACACGAGTTCGACTAGCATCGCCAGACTAGTACTAGACTTCCTCGGCCGCGGAGAGTCGGACCCGTCGCGTCAGTGTCGCCCATGCCGAGAAACCTGCCAGTGGATGGACGTAGACGGAGGTCTCCCTAGGTCTCCATCAAATCGTCTTTGCTTCTCCTCCGGCTTCTTGCTCGTTGCGGTTGGCACTTGGCAACGTTCCCGTTCCCGTTCTGAGTGACGACAACAGATCTAGATTCGGGAAGGGAAATAGGAGATAGTGCGAGGTGAAATGGGATGTGGAGTCGGGGAGGCTGACGGGAAGGAAGGAAAGGATCCCTATGTAACAGCGCCCCCCTCCGCCGTATTGTATTTATCCACACCGTAAGTGTAACGGAATCTAAAATAAAAGTGGAACCACTTTCTGCCCATTTCTTTCCATTCATGAGAGGCCGAATCGTTTGCGTCCTTCATTGGTTCTTCCACTGAAGTATATCAAGTCTAAGCAAGTAGAATCGGCGTGCGTGTTCGAGATTCTTTCACCTACTAATAGTAAATACGATGGGCCAATTTGATCGTGCTTCGAGGTAAGAAATCTCCATACAAAAAAAAAAAAAAAAGAAAAAAAAAAAAAGAAAACCGTGACTGCGGGTCAATATTTTTCAAGCAAGCTTGAAGAAAACACCGTTACAGAAGTTCAGGCCACCTCGGCGCTCGGGCTCGGGAGTCGGGAACGCGACGAAAACTGCGCACCATTGCCGTAACGCCGTACAAGCGAACATTCACTCACTCGTCCTTTAATAATTTCTACTTAGATTCTTGGTTGGGTTTGTTTAACTTGCGCAACGGCGGCCGCAGCTCCTCGAACAAGTAAGTGTATGTATGTAGTACTAAGTAGACACGGTTCTGAATCCTAAGAATGTACCTATAGGCTATCCCAATTTTCAAATAAAGTTAGCGTTCCCTGAGGCCTGCCATGATGCTGGTCCGAATACGCGTACTTGCGTACTTTGTCCAGATACCCATAGTCAGACTGTAGGCGGAAGGCCGGAGCGACGCGGACGGTATTAATCTTTCCTGGCTTTACGATGGTGAGGGCCGGAGTTGACGTAGGCTGGTGTCAATGTCAATATTAATGTTCGAACGGACGCCGGTGTCAATGTCAACGGACGCTGCACTGGGTGACGGAGAAAATGGAGAGTAGCAAGCAGCCCTGAGCCAACGCTGAAAAAACAATCGAGAGTACAACAATCGAGATTACATAGCATAGCAGCCAAGATTCAGAAGGATTGCAATTGACTCGGGGTCTGATCCAGGTTGCCTCTGAATCAGGCGTGGCTACAAATTGAGGAGTTAGTATGCCGCTCGGCAGAATTTACGAGCAACAGAGTTAACGGACGCAGGCTACATATCGTCTCGCAAGAGACTCGGAATTGCAATCGCTCTCGGTCGGCGGAATGCACGCGTCGCGCTGCCCTCACCTCA